ATAGCTATAAATTTCCACACTTTAATTGAAAGATTAAAGGTGAATATCTGTGAATTTGTAAAACGAAACAAAGCTTACAAAATCGTCAGAAAATCCCATAAAAATGTCAGGCAAAAAAAAAGTAAACAATAACCAATAGATAAAATTAAACAAAATGATTTACACGAAGTAGCAAAAATCAAAACTAAAAAAGGGCCAAAATGTGTGAAATCGTAACATTCACACTCTCTGCAGACAGTTTCCAGCTAAGATTAGGCATACAAAGCCCTCCAATTAGTGTCCCGTAAACAGAAAATTGTAGCACTTAAATCAAAGACTTTATTATGTGAATGGAAATCAGTCTTTCAGCTGAAATGAAGCACATGTTTTTGGATGCAGTGCACCCAGGCCAATGATTTACAAGGGGGCTGTAAATAAAAATGTCGCCAAGCCAGCAAAACTGAAGAGTCTGAGGCATTAAACCTGTCTATAGCTGATCATCATCACTGCAGCTTATAGCTTTGAGTACATTCATTTGGCACTCAAACTCATTCAAGCACTCAGAACCAGAAACCATAAAAATTCTGTAACTGGAACACAACTCAAAAAGAAAGAAATGCTACGAACAAATCTTTTTGACCCCCTGTTTATGACTACTGAATTGTGAAACGCGTAGCCAAAACATGTCCTTGCCACTTGCCACTTGCTGTGCTACCGTCGCCCTGTGCAACAGCGCCCCGTCGTCTGGTTGCACATCTGCTTGGTATTTGCCTCATGCCAAGGGTCCTGCGGGAACTAAGCTCAACTCAACTTAACTCAACTTCATTTTGTTTGCCTCGCAAATTTAGCATGAAGGAGTGAAAACTGTTTGACAATTGTCTGTCCGCTGTGTGTGTGTGTGTTTGTTGTGTGTGCGTGTGTATGTGTCTTGGCTTCCTAATTTTCACTTGTCCTCTCATGTCCAGCTGAAAGAGCAATCCGTCATTTGTCTCACCTTGGGATTGTTCAATATTTGATCTTATTGCCTTGAGTCAAGAAATTTCTCTTACGATTTTTTGTTTGTTTTGCTCGCAGTTGCATTTGCTACTGGTGATAGAGATTGTAATACGTAGTGAATACACTCGTGAATGTTTCGTTTTTCTGTTGACAGTTGTCTAACGGTTTTTGATGGATCAGTTAGTGGAACTTCATTGTAACACGGAGTTTGTTGACTGAGCCAACTAACGGTTAGTTGGGAAAGGATTAAAGACTGAGTTTCGAGCGAAAAAATATGGGCGGTACTGTGAATGGAATAATGCAGAAGGAATTCTCTCGAAATAATGGTGGGATTTTATAGAAATTACTATGTAGGCGAAATACGATGTCATATATGGGAAAGTAGTATTAAATTATGAAAGATTTTAGACTGAAACCTTTTAAAATGAAAGGTTTTTATATAGATAGACTTATGCAATATCAAATATAGAATTTAAATTTTACATCCTAATGATATGTATAATCTCACAACAAGTAACATACATTAAATCTCTTCAATGTGTCAGCCCAACCACTTAATTAATTTCCGTTGTGAAATCCAATTTCCCCAGCTCAATTATGATTAAATACCCAAGTTAAACCGTACGTCAGTTGAAAACGCCCACACAACAGCCATGGCAAAAGCAACTTCCTTTTGACAGAATAAGGATAAAACCAAATTTTTAGCTCTTGCGTCTCTTTTTTTTAGCTGTTTATCGGCTGGTGTAGGGTCAATGTCAGACAGAAGCTGCACGCTTGAGAAATTCCAGTAATTGAAAACTGTCAATAGGCAAATTAGGAAATTTGTCATGTTTATCCTGGCGAAGTTTTTGTGGCTTTGCTCTCGCTGTCAGTAGCAGCAGCAGTGGCCAACACCAAATTAATGGCATATCCTGTGGCTCATTTGCATTGGCACCGGAGGCATGCAGCTGAGGCATGTATACGGGCGCACTCAAGTGCTTGCAACAACTTGAACTCCGAATCCTGGCAAATGCATTGCATAACGCTTCATTAGCATTCCAATTTTATGCTGATTAGCGGCGAGCTGAAGAGCGGAGAGCTCTGTTCCTGATTTCTAATCCTTGTTTGAACAGCCTGACAGGCTCAGGCTCAGTTTCAGGCTGAGCCTCAATTCCATTTTCATTTTCATATCCATTTCTATATGGAGCACATTTGCATTTTGGTCTACTTCAACACACATAGCACACACAGCCACACACACACAGAGCCACACCTATGTAGTAGCAACGGCCATTTTTCGGGTATTGGTTTTTGGCCAGATGCAGGCGGCGTGTGCGTATCCTTAATATGCGTAAAGTTCACGCTTAATTCTTCATATTATGATGATGTCCTTTCGCTGCTTTTGGCTTTTGTTCATGTTCGTTTTTCGGTTTTACAATTGAAAATGAAAAAAAAAAATTCCATTTGCCACTTTTGTAGACCAGGTGTGACCTTTCTCTCTCTCTCTCTCTCTCTCCTTTAACGAAATCGATTGCAATTAATGGCTGTTGATAGATTTTTATGTTTGTATATTGGTAAATTGACTTTTGCAGCTGAGGGTTGCATTGAAAACCGACCCCCTTTTAACACATATGTGATGTACGAGTATATAGAAAAACTCGTTAGGACTCGCAAGAAACCAAATGAAGGGAGGAGGAAGTGAGGGAAGATATATAAAAGTGCAATACGGTTTTAGTGTAGGATCAACATCACGCTGAAGATCTTCTCTTTAAAATAATTCAAGGAAAACACATAAATAGTATTATACCATGATCTAATTACTCGTTTAAGGGGTTAACTTCAGATAGAGATATACTCGTATATGAAAGTGCAATATGTTTATAGGTATTATTAGATAGATAGATGATGATAGATAGCTAATGATCAATACTGCCAAGAATGCTTTGAATACAAAAAAATCCTAATAATGTATCAAATAAAATATGTTAAAGAGGGTAAAGAAAACTAGTTGTAAAGTTCATATGAAATGTGCCAGCTTAGCCCAATTTGGAGTTAGCATGGGAAACCAGATTAGCTCGACGAATCAGCTCTTCTCTTAAAAAAAACCATATAGTATTATGCAATGAGCCGACTACCCCCTGTAGACAGCTCTTACACAAAAAATACATGTTTTCGAAGCTCTCAATTAAAATGAACAAACCAAAAACAAAAACAAAACAAAAATAGTTACATCATAAAACCGCAACCAGTGCTAAAAGTCTTGCAGATTGTTGATTGTGGCGATGATTAGAAAAGATGAAAACAAACTTTTCTGCACCAAATGCGACCCCATCAAATTGTATTACAAACATAAATACAAAACTAAATTGACTATGCTGCATAGACAGAGAGAGAGAGAGAGAGAGAGAGAGAGAAAGAGAGAGAGAGAGAGAGAGGGAGAGAGAGAGCGAGGGAGAGAGAGGGAGAGAGTCTGGGTTAGAGTAGGGTGGTCATAAATAGGCATGAACTTCTATTGTATTAAATTCTGTTCTGTTCAGTTATGTTTTTTTATTTTTTGCAGGATAAGGCAAGCCTTGCAAAACCCCCATAAAACTTGACGATGACAAACAACAATGCGGGCAACAACAGGCTATGTTCTCTTGGACCTAATCCAACTACCCAGCAGCGAAAAGAACCCATTACAAATTCGATTCGTAATCTATATTTTGTATTACTTTGCTGAAGGTAGCAACTTGCATAGCCGATAAAAAGAAGTCTGTCCAAATTAGAATAAAAAAGCTGAGCCAGCGCATTAATTAAAAAGGAAAATAATAAAACAGATTAGAAACAAAGATAGAAATAATATAAGAAATATCTAAGACATTGAAGCTTTCACGAAGATAAGTTTGTGCTTGACTTTAAAAGCTGTCGCATACAACACTGCATATAAATGCCTTACTAGGTAATGAATTACAATTGTGTGCATACGGAATGCATTCGGTAATCAGAAGTAATTCACTACCTCGCTGCTGGGTGCTAGCAAGCCAGAGAAATTGCAAATGAACGGGCATAATGGCATAAAAACACACACACACGCACACACACACACACGTGTGTGGGTGCTAAAATGTCAAGCGTAACGATTGATAATATAATGCTGCCTGCCACGAGGTAAAAACGGTGGCCATGTGTCCTGTGTCCTGTTCAGTTCTCTGCCGCCGGCAGCCTTCACGCTTTAATTGGCTGCCGACGACAAAAGTCAGTCATATATATTCTACACACACACACACACAGACACACACACATACAAATGCACACACACACAAGGACTAGCTGACAGCTGCACAGAGATCGCTGATGATGTTTGGCGTGGTTGGGGGAAGGGGGTTGATTTTCTTTGATTGTCGTTTCTTGTTTGATATCAAAGCGCGCTGAGCAGCAAAACCCGCCCCACTAAAAACCAAGCAGCCAATCAGCGTGCGCAGCTCAGTCAAAGAGAGGCGTTAACTCTGCACAGCAATTCAAGCGAGCGAGAGAGAGAGAGAGCGAGTGAGAGAGAGAGAGAGAGAGAGACCGACAGAGAGTTAGCTGAAGTTTTTATTTGATCGTTGCCATATTTGTGGCGCCTTGTCAACAATAACAAAAGGGCGGACGCGAAAGCTGCTGCGACTGCTGCTTCTCTCTCTGCTGTGTGTGTTGTGTGCGTGTGCATGTGGAAACCAGTTTATGGGCCGCGATCTGAATTGTTGGCCCGCATTCGTCGCCCGGCGTCGCCGTTCGTTTAATTTATGCCTTTAGTTGCTTTGCAAGTCTCGTGCTGTTTGATCGCGTCAGCGTTCAGCGCGCCGCAAAAATTCCAAGAAACGAAACACAGCACAACAACAACATAAACAAAAAACCCGCGCGCAAAAAAAACAAAAACAAATCTCAAACTCCTTTCCGTCGGAAATCGCGAGTGCTTCTATGATTTAGCATGTGAATTTGTGTACTATTATTATTGATACTGTTGATCTTTTGTGCTGCTTCTGCTCCTTCTTCTTCTTCATCTTCTCCTTCTCCTTCTTCTTCGTCTTGTTGTGTGTGCAATCAGAGCCCCATTGGGGACCGCATTGTGACCCAATTCAGCGTCTGCTTGTTTTGTGGTCCATTTTGCTCGTCGTATCTGCTTCAGTCAGCTCCACACTTAGTTTCTAAGCAAACACACACTCACCAATACACACACACACACACACACACAAACACACACTACAAATGGATATGTCCAGTGCCAACTCATTGCGACCGCTTTTCGCCGGTTATCCTTTTCAAGGTAAGAGTTCGACTGAAAGGATTAAGCTTATCGAGAGAAGAAATCAATATTATTATTTACTATTTGCTATTTATGGATTGACATCAAAATAACATTTATTTACTAATACTTCTGAATTTTAGAATTTCAATTTTATATCAAGATTCTGGCAAAAATTCTACCCCAAAATAACTGACATAGTTAATTGATCGGCCTCTTCCTTTCAGACCTTTCATACTATCTTGCAATTTGGAAACTCAATTTTCTCCTTAAAAAATCACATAGTGAAAGATTTACCTAATCAAGATGAGATGTCAATTACTTTTACTATTTACAATTACTATTTACAATTTTTCAATTATTGAGATGCCCTTCAATACTACCTTTCATATACTACCTTCTCTCAATTTTCTTTCAAAATTCAGGCAAAAATTGTACATATAGAAATCACACAATGGGACAGTTCTAAAAACTGTTTCAAAACGTAGCCAATTTTCTTTTCCGACGCTATTTTTATAATTATTAGAATTATATGACATTCAAAGTTAGAAACGCTCTTACGGCTAAAAGTTAAAATTATACTCCCAAAAAGTGCTTTAGGGATAGGCTCAATATTCCTAATTCTATAACTCAAAAACAAGAACGTATTGGCGCCAAGAATAATGCTGCATTTAAAATTCGAAACGATATTCCGACTAGATTCTCATTTCATCCCAAAAACATTTAATTTATGAATTTTCAAAACCCCCTTTCCCCTTGCCATAAATTTGTCAAACATTGTTCGATTTGAAATCGCCATTCGGGCTCAAAATAAATGGTTATGTTATAGGAATAAGTTTAAACTTTCCAACGCCAAATCTAACCGAATTTCAAAATGAAGTTAAAAACTCGATTGTCAAATTTGATAATATGAACGATGCAATTGCAGGTCAGGGACGCGTCAATCAGCTCGGGGGAGTCTTCATCAATGGTCGCCCGCTGCCCAATCACATTCGTCTGAAGATTGTCGAAATGGCGGCCAGCGGGGTGAGGCCATGTGTGATATCCCGACAATTGCGGGTCTCGCACGGATGCGTCTCAAAGATACTGAATCGATATCAGGAGACGGGCTCGATACGGCCGGGCGTGATTGGTGGCAGCAAACCGAAGGTGACATCGCCGGAGATCGAAGGCCGGATCGATGAGTTGCGCAAAGAGAATCCGGGCATATTCAGCTGGGAGATACGCGAGAAACTGATCAAGGTGAGTGATGAACAAAGGGAGACGACTATTTTCTCTCTTCTCTCTCGGAGCAGCACCTGCGCAGGAAGCAATAAAATGTGCTGGGCATAAATGGGCTAAGGATTTGTCGCCCAGTAGTCGCCTCTGACCGCATTCGCATTATTTCCATTCAGATTCAGTAAATAGAATATTTCGGCTTACTTCCGTTTTCCAAAAAGTCACGTGGCACACTCCCAACGACTTCGGACTCCTGTAGCGGCAAGTCTGAGCTGTTGCACCGCCCGCTGTCTTTGTTTGTGGCACGTTGCCTTTTGCATATGCCGTATTTTTTCCATTATGGCCAAAACATTCATCGATTGACAAATTTGTTGTACAACGGCGACGACAAATGCTCGCAATGCCACCCAAACCGTCAAGAAATCGATTAAAGCATACAGAAAGTCGGCTAAAACGCCAACGGATTTTATTTTCATGTTGGCCGCCTTTGCTTATTTTTTTTGTTGTCGTTGTGTGTTTCATCCTTGAGGCTAACAAGCTATGTTTTTTTATTTCCTTTTCGCTTTTGTCTTTGTGTTTTGTGTGTGTTTTTTGCCCTTTTGCAAGCACTTCTAACTTCCGGTTTGACACGCATTTTAAACTGGCGGCTACAAGCCAGGCTTTGTCTGAGCTGAAATTTGACATGCAGCTCGTGTTGCATATAACGGTATATAGAATACAGTTGGTAATCATTGAATGGGTTTGCAGATGGCAACAGATACTTGTCTATAGTTAGTTAGCTTAGACCAAATTCAATTCCCTGCAAAACTTTGTTTTTGTTTTCAATTAAGAAAATAAATAAAATATAAATAAAAAACTTGCAACAATTTTAAAAACATTACATAAAACCCAACCCCCAATTAGAATACTGGACTTACTTAACCAGCTACTTTAAAGAATCGAACCAGCGACTAGAAAGTTATATATGTATATATATTTATATAGAATTATTTCTGCGAATCTCTGTAGTCTGTAATATCCATGTATGATATCAAATTACGATCCCATAAGGTATATATATATACCAATAAGAATATATTTGATCAGCATAAGCTGAAGAATCGATATAGACATGTCCGCGTGTTTGTCTATATGAAGAAGTCAAGATGGCAGATCAAGTTTATCTCATTTTATCAACAAGCGATACAAATCGATTTTCAACACTAATACAAGACACAATTGTAAAGATACAGCCTTCCAATTGATACATAATATACCCAGACATATTATTGATTAACTGTAAAAATTTCATTAAGACTGTAGAAGAAATTTTTGATTTTGTTAGCCACGTACTTTGAGTAATCTAATATATGAGCCAACTTAATTTCGATTTAAAAGCTAGCTATCAGCTAGTCGAGCTGATTAGCTTTTTTCCCAGTTAATGTTGCCTGTATTTATTTGTAATAATTTCTAATGTGTCACAAAGGGGCGTCACACAAAACTCAAAACTTTGCCGAAAATCGTCAAAATCAAAAAGCGAACAAAAAATGAGCCTCGCAGCGAAATTTTGAAAACAGTTTTTTGTATGAACCTACGTCAATGTTGCCCAGAGGGAGACCAAATGTCTCGCGGATGCCACCCATACTGATCTGAGAAGAGCAATCCCCTCTTTATCTCCTCTCTGCCCCTCTCTCTCTCTTTGTATCTCTCTATCTCTCTCCCCCTCTCTCTCTCTCTCTCCCTTCTGGCTCTTTGGCGGATGGTTTGCTTTTGGTCTTTATTTGAAGCCGCAATTAGTTACAGTTTATGTGGCGATACCAATTCAAATGGCCATCGATGCGATCGGGCCCAGATACTCGCATTGGCACACGGACAGTTGCATAATCTGAAGCTGCATCTCTCTCTCTCTCTCTCTATCTCTCTCTCTCTCTCTCTCTCTCTCTCTCTCTCTGTCTGTATGTGTGTCGTGCTGTGGCAGTAGGCGTAAAAAGTGCCTCCAGGTGCGCTTCACGCTAAATTAGAATACGCCATCGGCCTGGATCCGCATTTCTTATGCTCTTGCTGTCCGTCCGTCCAGCTGTCCTTACGTCCATCTGTATATCCGTCTCTCCTTACTCGTGATCGACAGTGCTTAAGCCTGATCTTAAGTCTGAGTCTGGCTTAGAGGCAGGTAATTGTTGTTGCTGTTTTTGCATGTTCGTGATTGATTCAGCTTTGTATTTATTGCATAAATCAATTGAATAATCGTCAGTAACGAATTTTGGTCGGAAATATATACACAAACTCCAACTTGAAACTTGCAAATGCTAATTTTGAGTTATACAAACAACTAAACAATACTTATTTGGGCTTCAAAATCAGTGTTTGATATGCAAAAAAGAATAATATAACAAATGAAGCTTAATCGAATGCAAATCAAGTTCTACAAACAATTAAACAGTGCTTATTTAAACTTATAATTAATATAATTAATGTTTATTCGAGTTAAAAAATATTGTTGGATATAAAGAAAAAATAAGAAAAATTAAACTAAGTCGTTGAAAATTAATTTTGCAAATTATCCCAACTCTTTCTAAGCCCAAGCTTACACGATCCCAATCCCGAAAACTGTTGAGTTCTGAGAAGTATGTATATTTCATGTGCAGTATAAAACAGCGATCGGGTCATCACACCTGTCAAACACACACACACACACACGCAAGATGCTAGACCCAATAAAAGAATCAAGAAACAAAAATATTTTTTGTTTAAAGCGCGCTCAAGTGTCAATCCAACTGTCAACTAATTAATTAAATTTCAATTGAATTTGTGTTACCAGAAATCAAATCGAGGCACGCAATAAAAAACAAAAATACGTGTCGCACAGTCGGGGGCACACAGACAGAGTGGGGATAGGGGAGGGGGGGAGAGGGGGAGGGGCATGGGGCATCGGGCGCGGCAGGCAACCAGTTGTCAGTTGCTACAAGATAAGCTGTCACACATTCCAAGCAGCAACCGGTAGGCAAACTGACCAACAGACAACAACAACAGCAAACCACAAATCCACATCCCCATCCCGATTCCATAAATAACGCAACAAAAGTCTAGATGAAAATCAAAACAGTTGTTGTTGTTGCAAGAGTTGTTGTTTTTGTTGAAACAGTTGTTGTTGTTGTCATACTCATGACACATTCAATAGAAATAAGAGCCAGTAGCCCGAGTTAGCCAAGTTAACCGGCTGCAAAGTAAAGCATAAGTGAAGCGCAGTTCCCCCAGTCTCTCCGTGCCAGCAGCCAGTTGAGGTGCCACAAGTGGCACCTACATGCCCAACAACTGAGAGCATATATATGTGATTATTAATAATCATAAAGGAATAAGAGAGAGAGAGAGAGAGAGAGAGGGAGGGAGAGAGAGAGAGAGAGAGAGAGAGGGAGGGAGAGAGAGAGAGAGAGAGAGAGGGAGGGAGAGAGAGAAAGAAGTGTTTGCGGCACATGCCACTCCATTTGAGACGCTAGCAGCTGCAACTCTTAAAGAGATCAAGCGTCGCCCAGTCGCAGTTGCAGTTGCAGCGAGCGATTAGCTTACAACTTGCTACGTGGAGTCAGAGATCTGAAGTCGACGTCTGTTTCTCTAATGAAAACTGACAGTTTTCGTCTGTTGCATTGCATGAGAAATTGGTTTGGATTTTGATTTGATTTCGATTTCATATTTTTTCTTGGAAATTACGAAAAATGTTATTTTTCGCTTGCTTAAGCGCCACTCGATTTTCAGACTGATGTCAATTAAGCATCAAAATAATTAAGGAAAGTAATTATTATAATTCTATATTATTCTATGGATAAAAAGCACTCGAATGGTATATCATAAAAAAGGAAACACATATTTGAGTACGGCAAATATTAAAATATTAACTTCAATTCAATAAATAACATTCAATATTTAAGTACATACATATCAATCAAATCAAATAAATAAATACAATTAAATAAATAACTACAGCAAGTACATAAAATATAAGCGATTCAAAAACAAATATGTTTGAATATTTAAAATCTCTCGACATATGATCTATGCTTATATTTATACATACGTAGATTCCCATATTTATAAGTACTTACAAAATTTGACTTTTGCATAGCTTAATAAAGATTAAGCGGTAATTTTTACAGTGCCCGTAGAATTTGCGTGTTTCGCATAAATAGACGAGTTAAGTGCATTAAGATTCACACCTGTGAATATGTCGTCGTATTTAAGAGAACAAACACGTGACAACTCCGACATTTCTCCTAATTGGATTACAGCAGACAGACATATATATATATATAGAGTGGGACAGAGAGAGAGAGAGAGAGAGAGCTACAGAGAGAGGGAGAGAGAGAGAGCGAGAGAGAGAGAGAGTGAGAGAGGGGGAGAGGGAGAGTTGAAAATTGTCGTAGCAGCAAGAGTGGGCAGCTGGTTCAGCAAGTGTGGAATTAATGTCACTGCTCCAAAGTGCCCAGGTGTAAATCCGTATGCCAAAGACCCGGCCGAAGCCGACTGCCTTAACTGCCTTAAACGTATGTATAATTTATAGGGGGAAGGGGAGGAGCGGACCCACAACCACCGGTAGCCCAGAAATATTTACGCGGCTAGCGCTTATCTTAATTGGATTTGTGTGTGTCTGTTTGCCTTTTGGAGTGTTCATTTTCCGATAACACACAAAATACATAATGAGCATGAGTGCTATATGAATGCTATTTACAAGATCGATCCCAGTTGATAAGGTTTTTCTTCTCTCTCTCCTTATGCAGGAGGGCTTTGCGGATCCACCGTCAACATCATCGATCAGTCGTCTGCTGAGGGGCAACGATCGCAGCAGCGAGGATGGACGCAAGGATTATACGATCCATGGCATACTGGGCGGTAAGTCGATGAATCTTTTGCCAAAAAAAAAAAAAAACAAACAAATGAAATATTAAAAATAAAAAACTGAATCGTTGCTCGTTTATGGTGTAAGAAACGTGCTACAAAAATTAGAGATCATTTATTTGATATGTTTTGGGTTGTAATTTCTGAAAAATCATTCCCAAATCATTTGTTGCTTGCTCAAATCAAAAATTGTTTGGTGTCTGTGCGTCGGCAACGATGCCTTTGATCGTCTTAGAACGAGCGACTTAAACTTAAATCAAAGCCGCTCAAAATATTACAATAGATGCGATACGATAACGATCCGTTCGTACAACAACAACAATAACAACAGCAACAACAATATCAGACACAAAATAGGTGTAGATGATGACACCTGAGAATCAAAAGAAGTACACGAGAATAGTATCGATAGATGTCAGATTCATCCCCTCCTCCTCGGATTCAGATTCTCCCCAGAGCTAATAACCCGGTTTGCCGTGAGACTTCGACATCGAGTTCGAGTTCGAGTTCGTCTCCTACTTCGGACCAATAATCATGCTAAATATGCAAAGTCATTCGATAAACGATTGGCGGGGGTCAAAGCGACGCTGCCCGAACTTCGTTGTTTGCTGCTCGGCTCGTCTCGTCTCGGCTCGGTCAACTTTGACGACTCAAAATCGAATCTAGAGAATTGTTATTGTTGTATTTATTGTTGTTGTTGCATCATTAGACGAACCATTTTCCTGTACCTTAACTGACAAGTTGTCATTTGAATTTTTCTCTTGCCAATTGTGCATTTTTGCAGACATTTGCTGTGATATTCGCCGTTTCATTTGCTGTCACAACATTCAAAACCAGAGCACAATAGAGCACAGTGGGTGACATGCGTATTCGGCCAGAGTTGTAACCTTGACTGCGTTCTTTCTTGCATTTTTGTTCAATGAATATTGACTCCTTGCTTTTGGGTGTTTCCCAACGTTGAACGGACTTCAAAGCAACTGTTTTCATTCTTTCTTTTCCTTTTTTGTTGAGATGACATTGGCGTTGAATTTGGTCTTCTTTTTTCGGGGCATGCTGTGCGGCAAATAGTTTTGTAGGTGTTTGAAAACACAGGTTGTTGCATAGTTAAAAGATCAGGTATTTAGCTGCAGAATGTTACTGAAGTTGATAAGATATGCTATATGATATATAATAAGATATGATAGTCTTAGCTAAATTATGAATCCAGTTTGAAATTGCGTTTCAGCATTTAGTTCATTTACTATTATTTCACATTGTTAAAAGAGCTAAATTTATACATATTTCTACTTCTAGCAAGTAGATGAATGATGTAGTAGAGACAGCGCGAACCCAGAGATATATCTCTGTAGTCTATATGCTCTCTACATCTCTATAGTGTTTCATAGTCCTGCTGATAGTAGTTTTATCAATATGAAAATATTTTTTAGTTAATTAAATCTGCATTTCTTATCTAATATTGATGAAATAGTCTCTGAGATAGACTTGATTATACAGATAGTCAGACGAACACGGCTAAGTCGACTGCTGATTAAAAATATATATACCATCTGTCTGTCTACCTATTTTTAATACGTTCTGCGTATAAGAAGACATATTACATATTAAGCTGCAGCGTCTCTTTATATTTCCATTTATTTTTCCCATCGCCCAATCTTAATTTATATTCATGATATACACTTTATTCGTTTCAAGCCGTGCCCTGTCAGCACCTGTATGCAAAAGCCATTTAACTATTTTCAAATGGTGGCTCCAATCGTACAAATGCCAATTACTAAATATAATCTATATAACTTGCAGCAGGACAAGAGCTATCATTATGTTGTCGAAGCGTATAATAAGCACACGCCCTCCCATCATCATCAGAATGCCCAAAACCCTATCCCCTAACCGCTATCCCCTATCCATATCCCCTATACATATCCCCTATCCCTATACCAATTCCATCGTAATGATGCTCCGTCATTATGTTTGCTTGGCTTGGCCTGGTCAGTTGAAGCCCATCCTGCGGACGCACAAACGGAACAAAATATTCACAGAGACACATGCACATTCACATTCACACTCGCATTCACAGTCACATTCACAGTGCGAGCACGAATCCGACTTGGTCGGTGCCGTTGCCTGTAATCAACGCCTGCCCAGCCTGTGGAGAGAGGAGGGATGTGGGCTCCAACAACTGTAGCAGCCCAAAAAAAAAAATAAATTATTATGCATTATTAAATATATATTTCTTCGTCTCGTATTTCACTCATAATTTCGTTTGATTTTGATTTTGTACAATTTATACAACTGTGCAACCCAGGGCCACATCTTTCCCTTTCTTTCTCTCTCTCTCTCTCTCTCTCTCTATCTCTCACTCTATCTATCTCTCTGTTTGGGGCACACAATCAGAGTTGGCTCATTGTCGTTGACTGTGTTTAGCTGCGTCGGTCTCACTTTGATCTTTCTTGCGACGAAAAAAAAAGAGAGGAATATCAAATCATAATAACTGAACAAAACACTAAATGAGATTTTTGTGTGGGGGCTCACTGGCTCACTGGCTCTCTGCAACTGAAAACCAAACCGAAACCGAAACTGAACCGATCCAAACCATGGCTACCAGCTAACAGCTACTGGAGCCAACTCTTTAGGTGACAAAAAAACTGGGGAGGGTTGGGGCAGCTGTCTCGAAAATTCATCAAAAAAAGATTGTTATAAAGATGTTATTAGGAGCATTGATAGTTTTTCATTTATAGATGCCGACAGAGAAGCGTTTGAACTAAAATAACCAATTAAAAGTGTATTGCATTATGCTGTGACATTATTGTTCAATATTTTATAAGGCACAAAAAGAAGAAGACTAAGAAATCAGCTCATAATAATAGGGCAATTTTACAACAATTTTACATTTATATTAAAAATTTTAATAGTCATTTTTTTTGGAAATTCCATGATTAACAAATTAGCATTTAGTCATAGGTCAGGTTATTTTGGAAAAAAACAGAACTGTAATCATTACATTACAATGATGAATCATGTCTGCATATTTAGACGTAACATTAATCTAGAAGTGAAATTACCATCAAAAACTAATTCGATTTGACTTTCAGTGATTTTTGGCACTGGTATAGTTTATACATCAACTATAACTGAAATAAAGTTGTATGATTTTTAGAAATGAAAAAATACACTTTTGTTTACCTAAGTTGGAAAGTACAGCGTATTAGTAATAGGAGATTAAAGATCAGAATTTATATTACATATATATTTATTTATCAAATGTATATATTTATATATATTTCGTGCTCGCAGTTTTACGAACAATTCCACTATAATTTCAAATCTTTATCTTCCGATCCGAAATTATAGCGAATTTTCGGGATCGCACTTTTAAGAATTATGCAGCTATAATTTCAGATCTTTGACTTATACCTATCTTTTTCTCTGAGCACGCCCCCATTTTGAAGTTGCAACAGAGTCGCCGATAAATGTTGCAACGCCCACGCTAAACGCGATTAACAATAGCCGACCCGGTGTCTGATAGATACGCGTGCGATTTGTATTACTCTTGGCGTGATAATGGGCCAAACCCATGTCAGCTCAAGGCCCACTCCACAAAGAAAGTAGCAAACAGCAATAGAAACGAAAATACAAACAGCAAGAAATAAAATGCCAAAACACCGACAAAAAAATCAAAAGTCAAAAGTCAAGAAAAATACACACTTGTGGCAATTAGTGTAAATGGACAATGGACAATGGATCAATAATGCCGTGCATCAAGGATGCCGCCGTGGGAAATGGACCCTTGGGCTATTTACTAAATATTTTAGCCAACCCAGACAATGCGGCCACAGTGAACCAGGCCAAAACCTAACCAAAACATGCGCAAATACAAACAGGTTCAATTATTAGCAAAAAAAAGAAAGAACGCTCAAAGTCGCAATGGCCGCAAAAGAGACAAACGACTGTACCCTAACGTCAAAGAGAGAGAGAGAGAGAGAGAGAACATATAGAAGTAAAGCAGAGAGAGAAAGAGAGTGCTGTGTATTCTTGCAGTGTCACATGACAAATGAGACTACAGATAAACAGACAGGGAGAGAGTGAGAGGAGCAATGATTGCGCAAAAATGTCCCTGCTCCTTTAAGGAGTATGCCTACATGCATGTACATATGTATATGTGTGCGGTCTTCTCACACGAACTGTGTTTGTGGCCCTCGATCATGCATATGTTGTTGCTCATCGACTGCTCATTTGTTCGGCTTATGGCTAGGGGTAGATGGAGGGGGTGCAGCCATTAAATGCGTTCATGCCCGAAAAAAGTGTCAACGTAACAAAAGCAGCGCCTCAAACATCAAATGCACCGCTCAGCGGCGGCATCTTTAATGCCCAGCAGGGTGTCCTGCGTCGTTCCATTTGATCTCATTGTCAGTGTGTCCCCTTGGCCGAGCCGCGCCGCTCTCGATGCACCGCTGAGCGGAGCATCTTTCGCAGCGTGTTGATGAGTTACAAAATATTTTATTAACGTATTATCACACTTTAGAGCCAACTTGCCCAACAAGGCCTACTATCTGTTTATGTATCTGTATCTGTATCTGTATCTGTTGCGTTGTGTCTTTCATGTATTCTGCATCTTGTGCGTCGCTCATCTGCTTTTGGGGGGATTTGTTTTGATCAAGTGTTTGCTGCGCATTGTTATTTAAATTAGTTTCATTTCATTCTGAATCGATAGCGGCATCTTCAGCAGCGGGAGCTGATTTTATACAATCGACTAATTTTTTTTTTGGCCGCCGGATTATTATTATAACTAATTTTTGGTATTTTCTCAATCTTTGCTCTCTGCCGTCGTCTGTTAACAATTTTGTAAATTAGTTTAAATGTTCTGCTGAATTGCACATGGCATTAAATGATGTCTCTCCATCTCCATCTCTCTCTCACTCTCTCTCTCTATATATATATATATGTATATATATTTCCCTCCTCATTTGTATTTGAAATCACTTTGCATATTGCGTGGGCGTTAATCGACCTTAAGATACTTTATGTGAAATATACTTGGTAGGAGCATTTAAATATATATAATTATACGCTTTTTGATAACCGCTTTAAACTCGATTTTCTCAACGGTTGGAAAAATGTCATTTTTTTTAATTAGATATAAAGATTTTCAGATGTAGGCAGGCATTGTTTTTACAACATTTTACATTTTGCGATATGAGATTATAGCTTCAGTCTATGCATATTTTTATTTAAAGTCGAAATAGTTGAGGATTTGATATTCAGAAATTGTGTTGTATACAATAAAGTAGGGAAAATATTCATATCAAACATGCTTTTGTTTTCAAATGTAACTGTATTGATATTATAGCTTAAGTTTATGAATATTTTTATTTGGAAAAAAAAAGAGATAAAGATCGAACTTATTTGAAATTAATAATCAAAACTAATCATATTCTATATGGTCTAATTTTGTTTTAAAGTACCTATTTGAGATTATATGAAAATGAACTTGAGGTTAGGATAGGTAAATTGATACGGTAAAGTAGGCAATTAAATCATATCAAATATAGTCTAGGATTTTTTTTTAAGTTCTTGATTATTCTTCACTGATTTTGAATCTTTTTGTTTGATATTCAAAAATGTTGTATGTTCTAAAGTAGGTAAAAGATTTTTTGCTCGATCAATTATCAAAATTCATAATTTCAAGGTCTTTGCACGAAGCTCAGTCAATTAAAAAAACGTCGAATAAAAGAAAAGACACGCAAAAGAATAAAATAAACTTGAACAAAAAAAAAAAACACAAAACTCAACGCTTATTAAATTTCCAAATAAAAGTGGCATATTTTTAATGCTCCTGTAATCCTTTTGCTGACAAGAATCTTAAGCCTTCAAACATAAGCCATGTTATGCGGCTTTGGTTATGGGTCTTGCCATGAAAGTCAAACTCGAAAATCCCAAATCTGGTCGGTGACAGAATACCGCGCGTGTCTCCAGCTGACAGCTGACAGTGACCTCCATCTCCACCTCCAGCTCCAACTTCAGCTTCAGCTCCAACTGCTCAGCTCGGAGCTGCATAAAATGTCATAGCCGGGGGCAATGAATTGAATACAAAAATTTCATTTACTTAGCATTTGTATGGGTCTTTTTTTCAATTGCAGCAATACCAAAGATTGGAAGGCATATATATATATATTTATATATTATATGCAGGCAATTTAAATTGTGTCAGGTTCTTGTTGATTGATGACTGAAGAATTTCATCTATGGTCTGTTTTTCTTTTTGAGCATATTCTACAGTCGATTGATCTTTGCCCTTTTTCTTGGACATAAGTCTCAACTGTCCATCAATAGTGGATTGGAATGGGTGGCTTTTGCACCACACTGGCAACCACACAGCGCTGCTCCACTAGCTACCAGCTGCTCCCCCGTTCCCCAGTACCCCATATTTACTACCTGCTGTTTGGAAATGCAGTTGAAAATGATCGATACCTCGCACGGATTACAAAACCACACAGTAATTTATCATTTGCTCAGAAAAGAAAGCCATAAAAAACCATACAGATCACAGAGTACTACCGGTAGCCAGAGTGGTGCCAAAAAAAAAACAAAAAATTCATCTTTGCTTTTCTGGAGGCCACCTTTGGATTTATAAATTGTTAAATTGTTGGATTGTTTTTAGCTGTGCCTCTTTTTTATTTTTACTTTTTTTACTGGTAGTAACAACAAATTAATAAATTGTTTAACATTTAAAAACTAATTGATTTTTGCCTCGCTCTACTTCTCTCTTTCGCACTTTCTGCTCTATCTCTTGCTCTTTTGTTTTTCTCACATTTCGTTCGGTTTTATTGAACAGCTTCTGCAGTTTATTTTCTGTTTTTTTTTTTTTTTTTTTTTTGGGAACCCGTTTCTGATAATTAAGTTTTATTGTTGTGTGTGTTGAAAGATTAATAGTCGACTTCTGTATTTCATATTTCATATATTATTTGATATTTTTCTCTTGTTTAATACGCATGTGAATATTCGTATTCAAGCCACTAAACCGTGGGCGTTCCACACTCTTTAAGATTTCAGTCTCAACTTTCGCAGGTTGTTTTTTTTCTGTTTTTCTGTTTTTTTATTTTTATTGTTTTTTTTTTTTTTTGCTTTTATAAGCGTGCCAGAAATTTTGAACTTTAAGTCGAGGGTTTGGCTGCATTGAAATTGGTTTTTGGCAAATCCTATTTGCATTGATTAGTTATGCAGGTGTAGGGTCAAAGTGCTTAAGCCTGGTTGTATTCATTGAGAAACAGAGAATTGAATGGGCCTGTAAGGTTTGGTCATCTTTAAAAATGGACTGTGAAAATGGTATGCAAATGATAAGGTTTGGTCATCTCTGGAAATGGAATTGAATGGGATTTGAAAGTTAATTTAAAGAAATTAAGATTTTTTAAAGAATACATTTAGATATAAGCAAGCTAAGATATCTGTAGCTAAATCAATTTTCTCGAAAACTCTTTGATCTCATAGAGATATTATATAATAATAAATATATAGAAAAAATGTACCAAAAGTTTTTTTTTGGGAACAAATTGTTCGTCATCTTTATAAAAACCACAAACATATCCCCGCAAACAGTTTATTCACACTTCCTGTTTATAAATTAACTCTATTGATCAGACAGACGATATTAAAGTAGCCTAAGTCCGTAAATCAATTAATAATTATCAACTTTGATAGACCGGAAAAGATTACAATGCGTTTTACACTGACCACAAAAAATTAACCCAATTCTTAAACTGTTTACTGTGCCACACACACACAGGCCTGCGATCAAGGACCAACGAATTAATCGAAACCATAGAAAACTATTTCCGGTGTCAGGACAAAGAAAGGCTCAACTCTCTCTTTATGTTTCTCCCTCTCTCTCTCTCTCTCTCTCTCTCTCTCTCTCCCTCTCTGTGAATGTGTGTGTTTGCTGGCAACTCTTTTTGAAAAATGGTCTTGTGATCTTGTTGAATAATGCCCCGCACTTTGAACTACAGCGACATCGTCCCAGCTCCCTGCCCCACTGTCACTTTATTGTGTAATGAGCACTCCAAATAATAATTTGGCATGCCCCCCTGCCACCGAGACCGAGCTAACCAACCAGAGAACTTACCATGCCTCGCTTCATGCCCGATTTCGGCGGCAACATTTGCCTTTTGGTAAACAGAGGCCGGAGTTAATTGGCGCACTCCTCCAGAGAGAGCCCAAAGAGTCCAAAGTGGGAACGTTGACAACTTGCCGATCATCTTCGGCTTGTGTAATTTAATATATTGTGTCACTTGTCAGCTGTGGTTGACTTTTATGACGACCTCCCCCTCAATTTTTTCTTCTTATTTTGGTGGTGCGATATTCGGCTTCTTTTGACAGATTTGTTGCGCTCCCTGACGTTTCAATTAATACGCAATGGCGCGCACTGAACTTCGACACTCCCAATTCTCAATACCCAATACTCAATTCTCAATTCCTATTTCCCAAAATTCCCACATTCCCCTACATTTTGTGGATCACTCGATTCACATCGCTGGTGGGCCACCCATCGAATATGATTTAGTTGAATATCTTTGGCGGCGTGAACAATTTTTATGATCTCTTACGAGGCGTTTATAATTTTAGTAGCCTTTTAACAAAGTGCCTGTGATGCTCATGAGATTCTTTTGTCTTCCCAACTTCCAGGCCGTGATTCGGACATCAGTGATACGGAATCGGAGCCGGGCATTCCATTGAAGCGCAAACAGCGTCGCTCCCGCACCACATTCACCGCCGAGCAGCTGGAGGCGCTGGAGCGTGCCTTTGCCCGCACCCAGTATCCGGATGTCTATACCAGGGAGGAGCTGGCACAGACCACCAGTCTGACGGAGGCACGCATCCAGGTGTGGTTTTCCAATCGACGTGCCCGTCTTCGCAAACACTCGGGTGGCTCCGGTTCCGGTCTGTCGCCCATGAATGGCAGTGGTCCCGGGGTGCCTGCTGGCCTTGGTGTTGGCGGCAATGGTGCGGCTGCGCCACTTGGCTTTGGGCCACTCGGCGTGGGTTCGATGGCGGGCTATAGTCCCGCCGCCGGCACCACGGCCAGTGGTTCGGCGGGCATGACCGATGGCTCCCATCATCATCATCACACCACCACCGCCCATGCGCCCAGCTCTCACAGCGCTGCTGCAGCGGCGGCTGCAGCTCATCATCACACCCAAATGGGTGGCTACGATCTGGTGCAGAGTGCGGCAGCGCAACACGGCTTCCCGGGTGGATTTGCGCAACACGGACACTTTCCCAGCCAGAACTACTATCATCAAGGTGGGTACAATTTTAGAACTTGGAGGTAGTCCCTCTTTAGAACATTTATCTGTTCGATCTTCTTTTACTGCTACCATGTCTTAAAAAAGTAACTCCTGCTATTAAAAGTATATGGTGACATTAACAGACAAGCAACTCCGACCCCACAAAGATGTTATTGATCAACATAAGACTGTCTGTCCTTATAAACATGCCGATTTCAGAGACTATAAAGCTCGAGACTTCACATTAAGAAAATAAGTTCAAAAAGATTTCATATAGTAATAAATGACACAATTGTACAGATGTATCCTTCCAATTAATATATTATATACCAAGGCATATTATTGATCAACTGTAAACATTTTAAATCACATAAGAAACACAGTTTGTGCAATTATTACAATAATTTGTGTTTTTCATTAACATTCAAAAACAATTTCTATACAGCAAAAAAATAAGCTCAGACTGTTTCCATTTTCTGACTTTTAACAAATCTTACTCTCTATAGAAATACCTCGCTTTTTCTCCTTTTCTCCTCCAGCTCTGGCGACTACCGTCCCATCTCGTACTATATAATAGATCCCTCACTTATTCTCCATATATCGCCTTCTCTGTGATATTTTCTCTCTATCATTATATTCTTCTCCCTTTTCAGACTACTCAAAACTGAGCATCGACGACTTCTCGAAGCTAACCGCGGACAGTGTATCAAAGATCTCGCCCTCGTTGCATCTGAGCGATAATTATGCCAAGTTGGAGTCGCCGTCGAACTGGTCGCAGGCCGCCTATCATCTCAACCAGTCGGCGGTGGCGGCGGCCAATTACAATGCGGCAGCCGCTCACCATGCGGTCGCCCAGCATCAGTTGACCACGGATTATGCATCGGCTGCCGCAGCCCATGGTAATGTGGTGCCCAGTGCCTACAATCATCCACTGCCCGCCCAGGGACAAGCAGCCAAATACTGGTCATGAGTTGACCCCTGCATCCGCTCCTGCCCCTGCCCCTTAACCGATACTTGATTTAGTTGTATATTTAAGTATTAATTATAATTAATACAGCAGAGGCACACACACAACACACACATACATATGTAAATCGAAGACACATACCTATTTATTCAACATTGGCTTAGCTATAATATTATATAGTTTAACACGGCATTCAGAGGCGTCAAATATATTTATTTGTAAAATCTAAGACATGAGACGCGATATTGTGTGTAAATAAATATATTAAATAACATATATAAAAAAGAAAAGAAAATGAAGTATTAAAGGATTCTCTCCATCTCTCTCTCTCTCTTTCTCTCTCTCTCTCTCTCTCTCTCTCTCTCTCTCTCTTCAGCAGGATAAAATACTACATAATATAAATATAAAATAACATAAAATACAAATACTTATCTTAAGCCAACACTCCACAAAATAAAACAACAGTTGATTCAGTAGTTTAGGAGCAAACCGCTAATAAGTAGGTATGTATATATATATATTTGTTAGTATCGTTAGTATTCGTATCTATTCTCTTCGAAGAAGTATTTCATACATTTATAATTTGAGAGTGTATATATATAGAAATATAACATATTGATAAGTGTTTATCATTTTTTACAGCGCCTCTTTTTTCGTCGCCTTTTGAGCATTCTCTCTAAACGAAGTAAATATGTATATATATGTATATTCGTATATATATATATATATATGTATATTAGTTCAATATATTTATTTTGCATTTGAAATACTTGAAATCGGAAACAAACATATAATAAGTTAATTATTGACAACATCAGACTTATAATTACGCACATTGAATATGTTTTTTTTAATTAGGTTTTATAACATTCGGTTTCTCTTTTCAATTTATTTTCTTTTCGTCTTTTTTTGTTGGTTTTTTTTGTATATAACAAATAAGTATTAATAAAAGGGTTGAATGAAATATTTAATTGTTTATTATAAATATTTCATATATATATTTGTAGGCTTCGTCTCAGTTATTGTCAATTCATTTATTGTCTGATTTGCTGAATTTTTCTACCAAAGTTTCTTAATTATTGTCTTTGACGCAGTTTTTTTCTTTTCATTCCAACATCCATCGGTGTATACGTGTACTTATTTATCATGATATCTAGTTTATATATATATAAACTATATATTTATATAATTTTGTGCCACAACACAGGCTAAAACATTTGGATTTTTTGTTAATGTAAATAGTATTATTATTGTCAAATACTTCATCGAGTGGGTAGAGTAATAAAATATTTGTAGGGAGTTGAATTTAAAATAGGATTAGTTGGGGCGACTTTCAAAGAGCTTCAAATTTCTACTAAGGTACGGCATTGGCACTAATTTGTTTTTGTTTTTTTGTATTTTGTTTTTTTTTTATAGTAAAAGGAGATATGATTTAGTTGTAATTATTGATATTAAATGTTCTTTATGCTTTGCACTGGTATCAGTTACCTCATTTATACATCAATACAATTTTATATATTTATAGATATATTTAATTATTTATTTGAATTGATACAGATACGCACCGAACTACGGCAAAATTTGAATTACAATTTGCATTTGCCCTGTGTAGCTGTCGTGTGCTGCAGGTGTGTGTGTGACGGGGTGTAGGTGTGTGTTTCTGTGTGTTATGTGGATCTGTGGGTTTTAGTTAATAAACAACTACATCGAAAATATTGTATATTAACTATTATCTTCATACGATCGATCTGTGTATAAGTTAGAACTCATCATTGTTATATTATTATTGTTAAATATTGTCTTGATATATATATATATATATGTAGATATATATTTATTTGTTATATATAATTGTTATTTAGTATTCATAATTGTCCATGGACTCACCGTTGCGTCGATAGACGCGTCGTTGCAGTGCTGTAATACGTGGCGGGGTGCCCCAAGCATGAAATGGTGGATAGATCCGGTTCCGGTTGCTATTGCTAATGTTGTTGTGGTGTCCACTTGGCAGGGAGTTTGTCAAAATGCTGCTGCTGCTGCTACGCATGCGAGCAGCTGTGGCTGCTGTGGAGGATCGAGATAGGGGATCCGTATAGTATTTGGAGAGACTACCGCGTATGCCAGCACTGCTCCAGTTCATCATCGGTCGATTGGGTAGGAAACAACGTTTACAAACGGCTGCGATTGGTTGACGCAGTCGCTCGTGTTGGGGGTAGTACTCGACCTGCAGTTATCCAAAAATATAAAAAAAAAAAAAACACCAAACACACATACACAACTTAATTAGTTCTCTTTCTCATCACAAGACTCGCTCGAAATACATAATATGAAAAATACATCTATATATACGAAATCTAGAAGAGTACAAGACAATACAAAATACACTTGGCTTTCCGTTTAGTTTCTCGCTGTGTTTTAGTAGAACACATGCAACTAGTTGACATTTTCTATGTTCTGTCTGTCCTACACGAAGTAATAGTTTAAAGAGAAGGAAATTAAAACACAGAATATACAGAAAACATGCCAATTTTTATAACATGCCAATGAACCAAGCTGAATTACAATTTACTCAAGAAATATTACATACGCACATATATAATTTCATATATATATAAATTTAACAGCATCAACACATATAACAATTTTGAATTTTATTTACTAATTAAAGGTAAGTTTAAATTGATTTTGCAACAACTTCACTTAATAATATTTTTCTTCAGCCGCCCAAAAGTAGGCAACGTTATTTTACAAATCCGTCGCTAAAACTTCCACGTGCAGCATAAATGTAGGCAACACATTGGGGTCGCAACTGTTCCCAGGAACAATTAAATCGTTGAAGGTAGAAATTAAATGGATTTCTCAATAAGTGCCATTCAGTAAAACTTTGTTGCACAAAAGGGCATTTAAATTACCAACAAATCTGATGAGCTTCGAGCAAAAACTTTTCGCCTAACTATTTGAATTATTGTCATTGACGCAGCTAAATTCGCTGAATTACAAATACAAAGCGCATTTCAAATGACAGCTACAAAGTTTTGCAGCACACAAAATAAATTGCCCTAGAAGAGAAGGGGGGACGGTTGAGGAACTCCGGGGCTCTGCAAGGCAAACAAACTGCCGGATATTATGCGATTATCAGATATACAGAATCCCCAACATACGGAAAATTGAATTTCCGCCAGAAATTGTATTAGGAGTGTGTTAACGGAAATGTGAACAGAAATTGGATTGGCGATTATATTATGGAAAACTGCACAATAGAGCTCAATACTGCTGAATTGAAGATACAAATTTGACATTGTCAGCTCGTTATGCACAAAGAGGAAATCAATGCTGCATTCCATTTCTATATACACTTATGCGTGTGCTAAGAGTAATTTTAAGTTACAAAAATTTGTTTTTTGGGTCAGGTTTGAATTTTTGTGAGATTATCTAATGCTAAGTTGCGTAAGAACTCTTTGAAAGTATAGGAAAACTCAACTAACGCCGACTAACAAAAAGATTAGCATAAGCAAGCCTACAAAAATAAGCAGAAGTCAAAACTAAACTGAGTACGTTTAGAGATATAGGAGAATAGTTTTGTAGTTTTTATGGATAGCCACATTTGATAGTTACATTCACGATCTGTTGTTGAATGACAGGCGACATTCGACATTCGACATTCTGCAGGCGACAGACTCAGTTTTCCAACTCAAAAACACACAACAAGTTTAAATACGAACAAAAAAAAAATGCAATCATAAAATTAAAACCCAAAGGAAATTATAAAATTATGCAGCACACATCGAACCATCGCCATTTACTCATACAAATTGCCTGGCACGTCCCGAGCGACTAAAGCGCCCCCCGGCACCGTTCATTGTGGGGCTGCGCAAATAACGGTAGCTGGGCAGAAAACCGGAACGATAAACGGCTCCAATGTGACGCTTCTCTGGCGGTTGCTCCGGTTGCTCCCTCTCATGCTCCCTCTCCAGCTCCTGTTCCTGCTCCTGCTCCGGCTCCATTTGCAAGTCCGGAAAATTGGCAAGATTTGTTGCCTCATTGCCATGCTCAATGCCAAACAATTCGGGATCCTTGGAGGTGTCTTTTGTTGTTGATCGTTCAAGTGCATATATATTTATATATATATATATATATATAAATATATCTATTGTGTACCGCATTACCACTAACTAGGTGCAGGGTGCTCAAAGGGGGCAAGGGGGTCTACTACCGACTACGTCATATGGCCGTAGTCCACATTTAATAGCCTTGCAGATGCAATGCTCACAAATGAAATGAACACTTTTCCTTCTATATATTCGAGTAGATGTGTAATAAATGTATGGTATTATATGAACAGATCCCAGCCACCATTTTTGACTCGTGCTATAATCTTAGTCATACTAATCTACTCTGCATAAGACACAACTCTCGAACCATTATTTCAATAATAGAAAAATTAAATGATAATTGAATGAGTTGATATTTACTGTCTTTAGATAAAAATGGATTAAGGAACATGGCTAAATTGTCTCGGCTTTTGATGCTGATCATGAATATATATACTTTTTAGAGTCGGTGATGCTTAACTCGGACTATTACAAGCATTGGCTCAAATTCTTTAGAAGCTTTTCAACATTTTTAATGAGTCTTGGGTTTATATACTGTCTAGGCTGTTGATTAAAAATATATATATAATATGTGAGCTCGTCAAGTCTCCTTCAATGTATTACAATTATGATTATTATGATTAGGATTTGAATATCCTCTTCCACAAACGACTTCTCAAGTTTCAAGTTCAACTCTACTTAAATCGGACACTGAGATGTTGAAGAGAATTCATAACAAAATTGAATAAAGAATAATCAAAAATCCCCTCTGCAAGGCTACAAGTTGTACAACTAGGAGGACTTCCTCTTGAGCAGACGTCAAAGATACTTACCCAGATATCGTTTCTCGGCGCGTCGATAGTCATTCCAGTCGAGATCGGCGTAGCCGGCATAGCTGGGATACCACCAGTAGCTCTGCATGGGATCGGCATAGTCGGGCGCAGCAGCAGAAGCTGCAGCAGCTGGCTGAAGCAGGGCCATCTCCACATCCTCTCGCTTCTGTTGCATCATGCCGTGCACCGGCGATGATTTCAATGCGCCCAGATTCCGTTTCTCGCCATTGCTGCGCTGATGATTCTGATGCTGCTGCGAATTGTAACGTGCCACAGCTGCCACATTTCGCTTCGGTGGCTCACGATGAGTGCTTGGGGCACTTTGCAATCTAGCCATAGTCGCTATATTACGCTTCCCATTGGGCAGCTGGAAGTCACGTGCCAGTGTGCCCACATTTCGTTTGCCAAAACTCATCAGGCCACCAGCACGGGCCAGGGAGCCAATGTAACGCTTCTGTTCGCTGGGTTCACCCGAATCGGCATCCGCATAATCATCGCCAGGCTCCGCGGTCGGCAACTGTCCGTTCTTGGCCAGTGTGGCCAGACTGCGTTTAGGTGTGAGTAATCCCTGAGCGGCCAAGGCGGCCACCGAACGCTTGTCCTCATCCAAGTAGTCAGCATAATCGCCCAGCGGCTGCTCCTCGCCCACTGCCAGCTGACGTTCACGGAGCAGATTCTTCAGCTGATTGCGTAACGCAGAAGCCTGCCCGGGTTGCAAGAAAGTGGATTGCATATTAAATGGTAATTTAAAGTTTGTTACTTTATTTGTATATTTTTTTGACAAGAAAATAACTTTTAAAAATCCCTGAAAAATATCTCTTTGCCAATGTGGATTTACTTGTTCTAATTTTTTTTTTTTGCAAGTGTGCACACCTGCTGCCCTTAAAGTCAGTTGTAATTGCCTTGTCAGGATTTTGCCTGTGAGTGTAACTTACGTGTAGCTGATATTCCGGACCGGGATTCATCAGTTGATTTATTATGGACTCCATTTCGCAGGGCGACACATTGCCAATATCCTCGCTGGCATTAACGTTAAATGCGCGTGGCTGTACAGCCTGCAAAGTGAAAAGAAAATACGGAAATGGATAAATGGAGAAATGTTAAAGGGGTTTACAAAAGAATCGACTTGCATCACGCTGGAAAACATTTCAATTAGCAAAGGGACTGAAGAGCGGAGGCTCTCTCGTCACAATTGCCACAATTACTTACGCTAAATTAATTTTGAAATGTGTCGATGTTTGCCGCATTTACGCCCACATTTTTAAATAACAGTCCCCCCACCCACAACAACCTCTCTTATCCTTTGCCTCTGCCTCCTCCCCAACTGACAGTTTATGCAAAGAGAGCTGCCAGCTTAGTTAAATTTATTGCTTTATTCGCTGCATACTTTTGTGCGCCATTTATCAGCATCTCAAGCGCACCACATTAACGGTTAACGGTTAAGCAATAACGGTTAACGGTTAACGGTTATTATCGCATATTTATTTAATGCTCTGACATTTCCATAAATCCCAAAACTGTTGCGTTTGCCAGAGATAAAGTTTATGCAAAACGCTATTTTTAGTCCGCCTCGAAGGTCGTCATTTGGGATATTAAAATGCTTTCAGAGATTCTAAATTGAAATGTGAATAAATATATAAGTCTTATACAGGTATTTTTTTTAGTGAGAGCAGTTTTTATATAAATATTATTCCGAAAGATACAACAAACGCATATAACATGACTTTTATCGATTATTTATCGATTGAAATTTAGAATAGCAATCGGAATTCAACAAATTATTTAAGAGCAGACTACTGAAAAACTTATTCAAACCTTTTACCGAAACTTTTACAATTTACGAAACGGAACCGAAATACAATTCGATTAAACACCCTGATTCGAAATAATCAAGCTTCATAAATATCGAAAACTAGTGTTTTTAAAATCATAGTTACTGTTCATAATAGTGATTGGACGGATGATTACAACTATAGGTAAATGTATATTACTTAGCGTTTTATGTATCGGTATCTCTGCTGAAGACTTGAAAGCATATTAAGTTTTCTTAAGATTTTCGAATGTCTGATATCTTGATAATAATTTCTTGTATATGCACATATTAAGAGCTTCTTAAGCGCAGTTGTCTCTTTTCGAAGTCTATTAAAGATACTCGAGTGGATACTTGAATGTAGTTTACTTAACTATTGTTCGTCTGTCCGAGGCTGAAAACTAATCCCGCTTTGCAACAGGCTAACAACAAGTATCCTAAGTATCCTCTCAATGCCTGTCATATCTGCTTTCACACCTTCTTCTGCTACTTCAAAATAAAAACAACTAGCTGGCATTCCACAACTGAGTGTCTGTGTGTGTGGGCGTTTGAGTGTGTGTGTGTGTGCGTGTGTGTGTGCTGCCAATTCTAAGCTATACTCATAATATTTAGCTTTTAGTACACACGTACACAGAGGCAGCGGGGGGGAAGCCTTCAGGCGAATTGGATAAAGTCAAGAACAAGAAGCTTGGGAATTTACTCTATGTACGCGTATGTGTGTGCGTGTGTGTGACGTTTCCTGCTGCGAGAGCAGAGACAATGCAGCCGCCTTTAACAAGGGAAGCAGATGTGGGTATGGGGGAGATGGGCGGAGCAGGAGCATGATGTGCTCGCCGGAGGCGCAAGCACCGTAAATCTCATACAGAAATTGACAACTACTTATGTGCACTCAAGTGTGAGTGTGTGTGTGTGTGTTGTTGTTGTTTAGACATTGCTTGGATGCCAAGTTCTATCTCATATTAGCGTTGAGGAATAATGCCTGCAAGGTGTTTGCTACATCAACTAAATGATATCCTTTAGCTATTCGATTCATTTGCTAAGCTGGAAAGTTTTTGGCAAGAATGCGACTTATTGAAAGTTGAGACAAACAGAAATATGCTCGAAATTCGGCTAATAACTTAAAGGAAAGCAGACTTAAATTCTTGTGATATCATAAAGAGTCGCAGGAGAAAGTAGAAAAATAGAAGGCTTCCTGGAGAGAGTAGGTTATTTTTATAGTAAGAGAAAAGAAACAAATTAGAACGCTCTGGTCGAGAGAGCTCGATTAAGATTTATACTAAGCCCAGCTCTTAAATAAATAGTAGACTTGCTGATATTAGTTCGTTACTTCTTACACAACTTTTGCACAACAATATTAAAATTATTGTGCATTTTTAATGGGTTCGCAGCAGACAAATTAGTTTCTACGTTTGTCTTTAATATTTTTAGCAATAAATACAAAAACACACTACAAATAATATAAGAAAAAGCGAACATTCACATAAGCCACTTATTATCCACTTAAAACGAGAAGGCATATTTAATTGTGTTTTATTTATGTCAATCCTGCTTAACTGCAAATTAATTTCCACACAATAAGCAATAACTGCCAAACAAATCATGCATGCAACAAATTGAATATTTCTCTTGTTTGCTCTGTTGCCATTCGATGATGGTCAAAATGTGCCTGGGTAAAAGGGTATTATGGCCATATCGCCAACGATTGCCATATAGTCGTGAATAGTGGTCGTATCGTAAATCGTTTTATGACAATGCAAAAATGTTAGTGCATGTTTTCAGGCTTAACTCAACACAACGCGATTCGACTCCTAGCACTCCTCGTGTCCTGGCGTCCTTTTTGTGTTTACGTATTCATGTGAACTGCGGAGATTGCAAAGCGAATGAACAAACAACGAACAACGCGACAAGTACAAAAAAAATAAACAACGAGCACATAAAACTGCCAATTCACGCCGAATACTTAAACGACAGTTGGGCAAAACTCAGAAAAGCATGCAACAGAAATTTAATTTCAAAAATTTAAGCTCTGGCATTCCAGAAGCACTCCGATTTACGTCATCAAATAATACTCTGACCACAGCTAGTATACCCTCCCCTCGCCTTTCTTCCACACATCCTAAACAAACAAGAGCGTGAGGGCGTGGCATCGCATTTTTTGCTTTACTATTCTATTCTTCGACACAAAAATTCTTGTGACAATAAATGAAGCGCGAAGCATTCCCAGCAGAAAATTTGCGTTGACAAAATTGTTTGCCTCGTTACTTTGTCTCATTTTACTGAATACCGACTGGGTGGGTAGACAGGGGAGGGGAAGGAATAGGGAGATGGGGGGAGGAGAGTGAGGAATAGAAAATTAGAGAAGTTGTCTCTTTAAATATTTAAAATTTATTATCAAAAACTGCTTTCTATATCTCAAATTATTGTTATTAATTATTATTTAAGTTTATGTTACATTCAAGGTAATAGAAATAAGAAACTAATTTTATCAATCAAAGTAGCATCTAGTGTAAACTTTCCAATGCCACATCTTTGTGAAAAGTAATCAGATTTTCAATAACCGGCGCTCTTTAAACCTGGCTCTAGATTAATACTCTACTCAAAGTTGAAAATGCAATTCGGGCTCGAAGTGCATATTAAAATTCTATGCCAGAGAATAGCAAATGAAGAAAGCCAATGCTTTTCAATGCCATAATGATCTGATTTTGGAAAACCGTGGTTTTTTGAGCATGGTTTGAGTTCTAGAATAAAACTACACTCAGAGTGGGAACGCCACTCTGGCTGGATGTTGAAGTGAAAATTATATTCCCATAAAGTGCTTGCCAGAAACTCAAAACATTACACAGTCCTTACATAGTAAAAAATGGTCGGATGTTTAATTTGTACTCACAAAGAGCTTATTAAAATTGTTTGTTGAATAAATAACATTTTTGTCTGAAGTTTATGCTTCTGTTGCTTGACAATGGGGCATAGAAAATTCAATCATAATTTATTATTTAATTTGCACGAGAGTAATTATAAACAAGACTTGAAAGTGTCGAGAGCAGACCAGGATCAGGTCCTTCTGCCTTATTGTCCTATTGTCCATTCTCTGTTTCCACGTTTCGCAGTAAAAAATGTAATTAATTAAAATTAAAATGCCGAAAACGCTGAAATAAAAAACTCAATTAAAATTATCGCCAAGTGGAAGTGAGCGAAAGTCTGAGGGGATATGCCAGAAAACAATTGAACTGTTCAACTTGTTCGATTCCTTTGAATTCGTATTATTCCCTAGCTAATTGGCCCTAATACGTATTTTTCACTAATCAGCTTGGGGCCAAGGATGCCATCGTCCTTAAGCGCCCAGCTTAAGCGTCCAGCTGTCGACAACAGTTATTTGCCCCTCTCTGATGGCTGCTGCTTGCTGCTCTGCTGGGTGTTGCCTGTTGATCCGCTTATGTCGCTTGTGTCCTGCCACAAGCAAATTTTATTATTGCTGAGGCGGTCTGGACATGCTCCATCTTTGTTGTTGTTTATTTCGTTACTTGGGGCAATTTAATGACGCATTTCGTTTGGCTTTGCTTTTTCTTAAATAAATATTTTGCGTAGCATTAAAACTTAAGTACTTTAACCTTTACAGGATTCCTCATCTGCTTCAAGGTATTGCCGCATCCCGCACACAGTACAGTACTGTAATGTCATTCCCTTTTTTTATTTTTATTAGAGATTTTGACTATAATTAATTTTTGGGTTATTTCCTTTGAAGGGATTATATTTTGGGCATTTTTTAAGAGTCTATCTAGAAAGCTTCTTTGAGAATGATATTAATATTGTTCACAAATTGTCTGTTACTAAAATAAAAGAATGGATTATTTCTACTAGAAAATCTTAGCTTAAGAATTTTTCTTTTTTGTTTGGGACGATTTCAAATGAATAATTTTCATCTTAAATTAAGAGAGGGCGGGGGAGTGCAAAATTATATTATATACATATAATTTTGGCCAGGCTAATGTGAATAAATTCTTGTATGAAAATTTGAAACGATAATATTAAGTAGTATCGAAAGTCGAACCAATTTGGAATCATTTAAAAGGAATATCAGTTCACCATTCGGCATCTTGCTGTTAAAATGTTTTTTTCTCGGATAAATAATATAATCCTCATAAAAGGTTGTTTGCTTTTTTCGCTATCTACTTTCATTGTATCTTTGTAAAACTCATTCAGGTATTTTCCGGCTGACAATAAATGCTAAAAGCAATGCCAGGACAC